TTATTGTTTTAGAGCAGCAATTGTATATCTTAAACAGGAAGCCAAAAAATTCCCGTATTTACATTGAGACAGACACGTTCAAATATGTGCAATGAAAAATACATGGGTTTGGGTGTTTCGCAAAAGCTTTATGAACTTTTCGCACCAGCCACTCCCCTGTAAGCTTTCCTGGAGGCTTAAACGTAGGTCTTCCTCAGTGACTTCATTCCTCTGTGTGTTGTCACTGTATGGGGCGGGGTGACTTGCTCAACAGAACAAAGTCATCTCATTATGCTGCTCTGGGGGCACTTGTGAGCAGGGGAAAAGAAAACAAACAAACAAAGAGATGAAAAAAAAATCCAAAACCCACAAACAAACACCCAACTAGAAAATATATTGTGCTCTATCTTAAATTGCTGTCAGAAGTTACTGGTTTTATGTTTTACCAACCTCACACTTTTAAGTATTCCTGCTTTCGCTGCTGGAATTCCTAAACCTTTATTTTTCTTAACTCACCATATAAGTGAGACCTTTAAAATATTTCTGAAAATTTGTAATGCATATCTAATACATAGTATACCTGACATATTCAAGGTTTTATACATTAATGGGATAATATATTTGAAAAAAAAACCCTGTAAATTACATTTTGTTTGTGAATTAATTAAAATCGGTGAGGTTATATCTTTCAGTGAAAACCAAAAATAGAGACTGTAAAGCTGTTGAAAAATCTGGTTTATTTTTTTATTTAAAACCTCACCACAGCACCACCATATCTAATTCAGACTGTTGGTATCCTTGTAATGATCTATCACAGCAGGAGCTGTGTAAAACAAGAAGCATATTTTACTGCATGCCAGTCTCCTTCCTTGCATTCCTAAAAAGCACAGTTACATTATATATTTAAAACCTCAAGGAATTTGATGATATTTCCACACAGCAGATACCTGCTGGGAGAGCTGTGTTGGAGAATAACATGAAAAGGTTTTATGCTGGAGTAAGAAAAGCTGTTGTGCACATTTTGTCTCATTTTCTTTTACACATATGCCGGTATGTGTGTGTATACATAATTTTTATATATATATATATATATATAATGTAAATAAAACTATTACATGATGCTACTTTTGATTTGCATTTCTGTGGCATGCACCTGGCTGGGATAACCAAGAGCTGGCTCTCTGGCTCGTTGCATTGCTGTCACATGGAATCTCCATTCTCTACAGCCATGCATATGATGATTTCCTCTTTCATTGCACCTCCATATTTTCCCCTCTAGTAAGTGCTTGGTGAGAAGTGTCCCATCTTCAGTGAGAGTGTGTCTGTCACTGTCGTTTGCTTCTAGATGTGTGCCACTCCAGGAGGCTGTCTGCTAAAGGTTGTGGCCATTAGAATAGGTCATACAGTGAAATAGTGAGGATATGTACTATTCTGGCACTTAGGAGAAATGTAGAGGGTACCATACCTACCACGTATTAGAAATTTTCATTTGTTAAATGACTTTCTCTTATCCCAGTAGAAGTAGGTGATATTCCAGTGATAAGGAAATGTTTCCTTCGTAAAATGTTCAGGTTAGACCGTATCACAGGTTTAATTCTGAAATAATATTAACCCAAACAGTTACTGGGTTGGATAATATTATTTGCAATTAATAGAGGACTTCTTGGTTTTCAGTTCCTCCTGGGCTTTACAGATGATTTTTGTGTGGCGTATTTTTGCTTATAAAGCATTTTCAGAGGTGTGTACCATTAAAGCACCTATAATATAATTATAACACAATGTGGTACATTGTCTGAAATAATTTCCCTTAAGATGTTTGACATACAGCTAATTTAATGGCACACAAGAGAAGGAGATGATGGATAATATAAATTTGATGTAGTTAGCAAGTTACTGCTGGCGTACGTGTGAGTTGGCAGAAGACCTGGGGAGGCTGCCTTTCAGTGTTGCTGGGGTACTTGGCTCTAAGCCTGCTCTTGCCACCTGCTCCACAGCCCTTAGGGATAACCCAGTTCTTCCCTCCAGCCTGAAACACGGCAGTTTGTCAGGCAGTTGCCTGTGCAGGATCTGTAGCTGTAAAATGCGTCAGGGCAGGGAGCAGCTGCCGCAGATTTTGTACCATGGTTTGGACATGCCTTGGTGCAATAGCCAGAGCAGGTAGGATGTGATGCTGGCCATTAGGAGGATGTAGGCCCTAACAAAACATTTAGCCCCAAAGTGATGTTAAAACCTACGCCTCATTTGCAGTCCAGATCACTGCTTTTGGTTTCCAGCAGCAACACCAAGATTTTTCAGTGTTCACAATGTTCAGAATTGTTCTGCACAGATATACTGCCATAGGTATGAAGAAATACACACAGCAAATGTAGCTCCTTAGGGAAAACGTATCAGGGAGAGGCAGGAGGTGTAGGAGACTTTCTGGCTGTGTACCAAGCGCCTGTTTACCTAGCTATTATTCCTGTTATCTGTGGTTCTTTGTTTGGGATTACAGTCTGACAAAGAAATGGTTGGAAATTACTGATAGGAACTGATTTGTTTATTTTTATTTTTTTTTTCCAGTAAGAGAGACAGAGTATTCAGCTAAGGAGATCAAAGCCTTTAATCTTTCTCACAATCTCACGTAGCATGATTCCAAAATACTTAAATAATTTTTCTTTAAAATGTAGGATGATTGTGAATTGAAATGCATATATTTCTTGTAGCATTTATGCGAAATATGCAGATAATTATTTTAATAATAAAACTACAGTTGTCTGTGTACTTAGGTGTAAGTTTCGTTGACCAAACACTTACTCTGAGAGCAGAAACACCTTGTATATTGTGCATTAAATATATCTCTCATCATAGGGCTAGTGAGTTTGAAAGCCAGACTATAGGTTTGATTTCTTGTTGCCTTTTGGTAAAACCCTACATCTCCTTTTTACATGGGTAATTTGTTGATATTTTTTTTTCTGTGTGTTCATATATTTTATCAGCTATCCTGCAACTTTGTAAATTGCTTAGTCCACCAACTTTCTGTAAAGCAACAGGCTGTGGAAAAACTGTTTAAGATTGCTAGGTGCATTTTTCTCTGATAATATTAGTGGCACATGTATATAAAAGATGCTTTGTTTATATTTCTTCTTATTTTTGTTGGAAATGATTATTTGCATCCCTTTCTATACAAAAAAAAAAAATGTATTAACACATTTAGTATTTCAGCTGTAGTATTTAATCCAGGAAAGCATTAAATATTGGGTCTTCTGTCTTTAAAGTAAGCCTGCATAACTGGCTTGGTAAAGAGATAGTGAAGGATTGTGCTCTTTTTGAAAAGACTGTCTTTGTCTTCAGCAGCCAGTAAGTCAGTACAAAAGAAAATGTGATAAAATTTTCCTTTAAATATATACGTATGCCTCACTAACCCCAGGGGAAGCAGGAAGTAGTTTGGCTTTTAAAATTGCAGTGGTAGTCTTCTCATGAGAAGCTCTGGGAGTCTGCTCATTTAGCACCCTTGTGAGATGTTCTGGTTCATTCTCTAGGACAATGTACAATGGAGAAATTACTGAGCTTTAATGAGAAAGGAAGCCTGGTACTTGTTCTGAAAAACAGAAATGCAAAACCGGAGTATGCTTGACAAAACTCAGTCTTAAAAGCTGCAAGAAGGGCTTGATTCAGTTATAATTATTTGGTTCTACAGAGGAAATAATCAATAAACAATATCAGACTTCAACTGTGAACAAATGGTTCCAACATGCTTGAGTGATTCGGCTGATAAATAATAGAGAAGTCATTTAAACCCACTTATTAAGAATTGTTGAAGGAAGAGCCATTTTTTGAAACCTTGTGTTGCATAGCAAGGTTGAGTAAAAGTCAGACTGAGTAAAGCCTCTATGCTTGTAAAGAACGGGGTGAGGACTTTACAGAGCTGTCGTCCTCCTCCTGTGTATGGCAGCCGTAAAGTCTTTATACCAATGGAGCCTGAGAGATTTAGGATTAATCCCGTTGCATTCTGTTCTTTCAATTTAGTTCAATAAAAACTGACCTCACCGGGGGAAAAGAACAAAAAAATAATACAAGGAAAAAAGGTTTTCACAGGTATTTTAGAAAATGATCTTTTACATCTGAAAGCCATGTTCCAAGCTCAGATCTTGGTCAGTCAGGCCATAGTTTGATGCTCAGAACATCAAGAGAGAGAGCTCAGCCTCTCCTAGTGCTGATGCTTCATACCAACACAACCTTTTATCCTGAACCCACTCAGAGGACTGTTTGCTACCGGAAGAAAATTGGTCTTGAATTTTTAGTCATGCCAGTTGCGCCTTTTCTTGCTTCTTGCTCTGCATGTGCAAACAATCACACTTGCAGAACAAAGACTTTTCCACCACTTTTCCATGGGACCTTCTGTGCAATAGCAGGCGAAGCACAACTCTCCTTCCAACACCAGTGTATCTGAGGGGCAGCAAGTGAGCTGCAAAGACAGACTGGAGTAAAGACTCAAGGCCTCCTTTTGCTCCTGCTCTGTGTGTGTGGAATTTCTGGCCGTTTCACCAGGAATAAGGTGGGGGCTTCCACTCGCCCCCTGCTGCTCCCATGTGAGACTGTTGGCTCCATTGCTTCATTTAGCAAATCCTGTTTGCTGTTCTTCTCGCTATGCTTAATGCAACATTGCCTTGCTCTAACAGCATTTTTCAAAATGTATTAAAATACACTGTAATGTACCATAATACCTATTTCAGAGAGTCTCCTGACTGCAGACATTATTATAGATGGTAGGAAGCTACAGTGGGATTAGCTGTTGACTGCAGATCCGATGCCAGTGCTTTTCTTTCTGTGGTTCCGTGTAATTTAATGTGTCAATAGCCTCCCTGGTAAAACATGATAAAATTTGATATGGTTGTATTACTCAAAATGTACCACATAGTTACACATGAATGATATCACTCCTAAATATAAGCAGATATTGCAAGGCTGATTTCAGTAAATGACTAACTACAATCTTACCTTTTTGATATATGTATTTTAATAGTGATCTCTCTTTCTTGCAGACAAAATTGAAGAAGCACAAAAACAACTTAATGGAACAGAAGACCAACAGAGAGGTAATAACAACCCCCCAAAAATAAAACAGAAAATAAATAAACTATTGTGATCCCAGAAGCTGGTCCAAAGCCTTCCTGTGTCAGTGAAAAGACTTGGCTGGGCTGGGCGCTGGATGAGGCTCCAGCCATGTGTCTGCAGATCAAGGGCTGTGTCTGTAATGTCCCCCTTCAGCTGAGACACAAAGGCTTTGTTTTAACCACTCAAGTAGCTGTCTTGACCTTGATGAGGTTGCTGAAGCTATAGCGTCAGGGGCATGCACATTGCTGACCACAGGGTGCTAACCCTTGATTCATCATGTGATTTACCTAATCATTAATAACCGTACTCAGTTTGTGGTGAGCAGTATGTGATGATTTCCAACAGATGATGAGGAAGGGGACTGATCATCACAGCTTATTTTAAGAAACAGATGACCTGTGGCAGATTTAATCTGTGTGTTAGAGCTTAGAAAGCTGGTGCAAAGTTGTTGCATTTCAAGAATAGCTGACTGCAGTGTTATGTGTTTGGTTGTGTGGTAAATCTCACCTGCATGCCACAGGGATGCCCAGACACAGAGTGGGGAGCCCAAACAGTTCTGCCAGGTTACTACTGGGCCCACCATGAGAGAGGCATGAGAGGTCACCTCCACAGCTTAGAGGAGCACAAGGGCAGGAAGAAATCCAAATTAAGGACTCAGAGAAAGAGTGATCCTGCCCAGTCTTCCCTCAGGCCTGTGCCTGCAGAGCCCCAGCCCACGTCCAAGAGTGAAAATGTCACCATGCACAGTCAAGGAACAGCTCTGCTTTCACGTTTTGGACTAACAGTGTTGCCAGCTGGGTGTGTGGAACACATTGGAGGATTCAGGGGAAAAGCTTTTGTGGATTCTGTAATGCTGTGCACCAGCATCTGGAGTGGAGCTGCAACCCTGAGGGATGAGATATCCAGGCACAGCAACTGAGGAGTCTGCGATCCAGGGGTGGCTACTGGGCAGACTGAGTTTCTGAGCCAAGCTGCTGGTGGGATCCACCTTGAATGCATAGATGTATTTCCATTAGTAGACCTTTTCCCCTGTTCAGCCAGATCAAGGAGCAGGATGAGGTAGGAGTGCTCAGAGTGTCTGTCCAGGATCTGTATGTCCAGCCGTATATATGTACATATGTATGGAGTACGTGTGTTTGCTCTGTGTATATGTCCCTCTTGGGAAGACATTTTCAGCCTTGCTGCTGGTTGGACCTGGGGGCAAGGATCAGCAGCAGCTGCACTTCTCTTGGGCTGCTGGATTTGGCATATGAGATGTTTCCTAGTATCTGGTGTCAGTGCTTTGGCTTTTTCTGGGTAGGCATTTACCTTTTCAGTGGTAGTGAGCTGCCCATCTAGCCTGTGACACATCTGTGACAGTGTTGTAAATATGTTCTGTCCTGGAAGGTTTATTAACTTTCAAAGCAATGAACTTCAAAAATTTTTGAAGATCAGAGAGCAGAAGACATACCCAGGTGGATCTCAGCAGGGCCTCTCTGGCCCAGCATTTTGCCTCCAATGAAGGAGGTAGGATGTACTGTTTAAGGACACCACATAAGCCTGGCCACTTTCTTTGGCCTCTTATGAAGTCCACACACACTGAATTAGGGATGTGTGCTTCATCTCTTTATTACCTAGACATTCATGGAGCTGTTATCTATGAGTACAGTTGATTAAATGCTGTTTGCACCCAACATTTTCTGGCAGCAAACTGCAGTAGTTCACTAGCAATGACATTAAAAATACATGATTTTATCTTTTCTCCTCAGTTTCCAATTTTTCTTCCATTTTTAACAGGTGTGCCCTAGCTCAAGCACTGTGAATCATTAAATAGCAGTTCTATACTCACCTTATACACTGCCTTCATGATTTTATAAATCTTGTCCATATTTTGCTCAGCTTTCTTCCCTCCAAACCTGTAGCTGGTCTCATATTTCAAGATGTTTAATATAAACTGTCTCATATGAGTACCAGGATTGTGATGTTGCTCTATATATTTATAAAAGGTGGAAGAGATAAAACATAACTGGTTAGATAGAAGACCTTCAAATGTTTGCAGAGACTTCTAAACACACCAGACCTTCTATTAAATCTTTCTTATGTATTTCTGTTTAGTGTCTCATAGATACATGGTATTGCCAGCCAAAGGTGAAAACATGGCACATAAGGTATAGCTGTTCTTGTTGCTGTTGGTCTCACAAAAGTAATACTGCTCTGGATGATTCTTTGTGATGAACACGTTCAAGCTAAAGATGAGCTACCTCTGCTTTCAGGCATTTGTTCTCACATGTGGCACAGTAACCTCTTTGCATAGAGGAAGATAAATTCTCTAGGGTAAACTTTGCAATGTACTCTGGAAGGGGTGGGGTTACAATGGTTTATGTGGTGGTAGCACTCAACTCTCAAGCATCTCAGAATTAAAGAGAGATTTGACTTAATTTTTGGCTTCTAGCCTAAATTCTTATGGCTGGAAATTGAAAAATAAAATTTTACATTGAAAACTGATATAGAAATAACTGAGGTAATAAAGTTACTCTTTTCAAATTAAAAGCTCTGTGGGGTTTTTTTAGTTTCTTACATGCCTGAGTAGATCACATTCTTGGTAATATGAAGTACACAAAATTATGTATTTGAAGCTTTAGACTCTGAAGGCTGCTGAAAAAAAAGAAAATACATGTTTTGAGCTAAACAAGTAAACAAAAATATGCACATATTCACATAAGTTATTGTAAATCACAATCCAGTGTATAGAGATTGGTGTGAAGTATGATTTTATATTTTTCCTCTTGGTTAATTTATTTTGGTTTTCAGTTCATCTAGATCACTTTGGATTTGTTTATTTCCTATCTGAAATGATTAAGAAATGTAATTTTGTGGAATTTATCATAAGTTAACTGCTACTCTGTCAGAGGAGCTGTCAGTGGCACAATGTATTTGTGGGGAGGAGTTTTTCATAAATTTATTCACACTGAGTTTCTGCTGAGTAGCATTGTGCACTGATCAGTCATAACTTTATACATGTGTGGGATTTAAGTTGAATTTAATTGACTACAGAAATACATGTATTTAACACCTCATTTTGCCATTAGCTATAGTAATCCAATTAAGTGCAAATTGGAGTAGGACTCAAGCACAGATGAGACAGCAAATGAGCAGACGCAAGTTTGCACTTTGATTACTTAGTATAAAGTTGCAACTGCTTTTTTATTTTTTGAAGTGATAGTCCACAAATTATTCAGATAGCCTTGATTCAAATAACCACTTGAGACCAGAAACATGTTCATTAGGGGCTGTGCTCAGCTTCCTGCTTAGTGAGTGTGCAAGTTGGCTAATTCTCATGTCTTTTAATTTTTTCTCTGCTGCCCAATTGCCACTCTGAATTTTCAGGAGAAACCGTACTGCTTCTTATCTTTGCTGCTGTCTCCCAATGCTTCTTTACACCCTGAGTGTGCTCCTGCTTTGGGGCTGAATTTTGACTTCTGACACATGTACAGGGTTTAATTAGTGTGATAGAGTAGGTCTTGTTCCACATGGTGTTCTTTAAAATCTGGAAGGGATGATGAGCTTGAACAACACAAGATCTCTCTTTGAGAATGCAGTGAAAGTTTTCTGTGGTGTGGGACTCAGTGGATATTGTAGGCTGGAAAGCTTTCAGGTGAATGCAGCTGCTGTATCTTTGATCTGCTAGTGGTCATCCTCCTAAGAAAGCCATTCCAAGGATATCTCTCTCTCTTCTCCCTTCCAGACAAGTTAAGTTCTGTCAGATTGTGATCACCACAGAGGCTTCTGATTTGGTCATCCTCAGAAACAGTCCAGCCTCTGAAGTGCTGTAAGCATTTTGTTTCCTGATTTATTCATTGCAGCAGTTCTTTGCCTGTCACAGCACTCTGGGTCCTAGGTACATCAGTGCCACCAACACCATCATTGTGTTCCTTTGGACTAGTGGAACTAACTTGGCTGTCACCACACTTGGTGTCAGCTATGCTGACTGCCACCTAAATTCCTCTCTCTCTGGTTATGAAAATGTTTGTGTAACTCAAGTTGGTGACAAACTCTAGCAGCAGCAAGATTTGCCAGGAAATGGATGAAAGATTTCCAGAAGGACCATCTCATGGCCTGATGTATATTCTGTGTAGCTTACCAGTCCTGGGGTCTCTCAGGCTGTTAGGACTCCATCATTTCAGGTAACTGCTTCTTGGCATGTCACAGCCAAAAGGATCAATGATAAATTTCTGGGTAAGATGGAAGATGGATTTCTTTGTTCTCCTTCTCATTCATGGCAATTGGGGTGTCCTCAGACTTTAGGGTGGTCTGGGATGGACTGGAGACATGCATGTGTTCATCAGCCTCACTGGAGTTGAGACTTGCAGGCTGTCCTGGTTGTTTGTCAGATGTGAATTCATCTCTCTGAATAAGCTGCTGCCCCTGCCTTTGATCAAGTTTTTGATTTTCTGGTTTCAAGGTATCAAGGTTTTCTGGTATCAAGGTATCTGGTATCAAGGTTTATCCCCAGCTGGCAACTAAGTCCCACACAGCCACTCACTCCCCCACAGTGGGATACCAGAGCAAATTACAATAGCAAAAGTGAGAAAACTGGATGGAGATAAATACAGTTTAATAGATAAAGCAAAAGGTACTCAAGCAAAGCAAAACTAATAACTCATTCACCACTTCCTGTCATCAGGCAGGTGTTCTTCCATCTCCAGGAAAGCAGAGGTCCACTGACTTTTGTCCAGTGACAAATGCCATCATTCCTCCTGTCTGCCTCTTTACCTTCTTCTTTCCCCAGCTCTGTATGCTGAGCATGACGCCACATGGCCTGGAATATCCCTTGGGTCAGCTGGGGTCGTCTGTCCTGGCTGTGTCACCTCCCAGCTCCTTGTGCACCCCCAGCCCTCTCGCTGGTGGGGTGGTGTGAGCAGCAGGAAAGGCCCTGACACAGTGCAGGCCCTGGCCAGGAGTGATGAAAACACCCCTGTGTTCAGCACAAATCCAAAACATA